TGTCCGTCCCTCAGTAACAATTCTGTGTCCCTCAGTAACAATTCTGTGTCCGTCCCTCAGTAACAATTCTGTGTCCCTCAGTAACAATTCTGTGTCCCTCAGTAACAATTCTGTGTCCCTCAGTAACAATTCTGTGTCCCTCAGTAACAATTCTGTGTCTGTCCCTCAGTAACAATTCTGTGTCTGTCCCTCAGTAACAATTCTGTGTCTGTCCCTCAGTAACAATTCTGTGTCCCTCAGTAACAATTCTGTGTCCCTCAGTAACAATTCTGTGTCCCTCAGTAACAATTCTGTCTGTCCCTGAGTAACGATTCTGTGTCCCTGAGTAACGATTCTGTGTCCCTAAGTAACGATTCTGTGGCCCTAAAGTCTCTCTGGCCCTAACTCTGTCCCTAATACAGACAGGTCTGTCTCTCTTGAATGACCGGAGGCTAATGGAGAATTGTAAGATGGCCGCAATTTATAGCTCCACCATTACACAGTGCTGGCTGCTGATTGGCTAATGCGATCACATGTCATGAATGAATGCATTATGGGTCAGCGCGCCTTGTCTGCGCGCCTTCCCAGAGATCCCCGCTCCGTCGCCACACATGTCGCCGCCATTTTTGGGAAAATTCGATTCGTGCATCCGAAGTTGGCTAATTTTCGGATTCGGCGCGAATCGAATATTTCCCAATATTCAAAACGAATTCCACTTCGCCATGTTCGATTCGCTCATCTCTATATGCAACTGATACACTTGCAGGGTTCTAATGAGGAAAGTGGCAGTGTCTGCAACTCTTAAGAAATGATTAACCCTCTTGGGGGTATTTCACAAAAACTGACATTTTACTGCAGAGGATTCCTAAAATCTGACCTGTCTCTCTGCAGAGTTCTAGGGCAATCAGGAAATTATATTTTTGCAGGCGCTCCATATACCAACTAACTCTGTACAGAAGGTCTCGCGGTTGCCATATTGCAGTGAATTTTATAGAAAATTACAGTGGCTGCAGACTGAAATGGAAGATCATTTGCATTAACATTCAATTACAATATGGTTTGTGTAGCGATTGTATATGCTATATTGGGCTCCATTCACTAAAGCAGATTGCATTTGGAATTTAAGTGATCCGACACCTCCTCTCTTGGTCACTTTGTAAACTCCCATGGCTTTAAGAACCATCTCTATGCTGATGACACACAAATTATCTTTCTACTCCTCACCTCACTCTTACAGTCTCCTCTCGCATTACTAACCTACTAAGTGACATATCAGCATGGATGTTACTCCACTTCCTCAAACTAATTCTTAATAAAACTGAGCTCATAATATTCCCTCCAGCCATGCCCCCTCCACTGACTGCTACATCAAGATCAATAATATAACCATCAGTCCCTTCCCTTATGCCAGGGTAATAGGTGTAATCCTAGACTCCCCATTTATCCTTTAGGCCCCAAATCCAAATCACTGTCCAAATCTTGTAGACTTCACCTCCGCAACATCTCCAAGATACGCCCGTTCTTAACCTCTGAAACCACTAAGCAACTTATTCACTCCCTTGTTATCTCTCGCCTTGACTATTGTAACTCCCCCCTCATTGGCCTACCTAATTGCAGGCTATCCCCCTCTACAGTCTATCATGAATGCTGCTGTCAGACACACATCCACCTTACTAACCGTTCCATATCTGCCATCCCTCTCTGCCAATCCCTCCACTGGCTTCCCACTGCCCAACGAATATATGTTGCGGTTAATGTTTTGAATTTTAAAGCCATTTATAACTCTGCCCCAAATTATCACCAATCTTGTCTCACAAATATCACCCAAACCGTCCTCTCCGCTCCTCCCAGAACCTCCTGCTCTCTAGCTCCCTTGTCTCCTCCTCCCATGCTTGTCTCCAGGACTTCTCCAGAGCTTCCCCCATCCTCTGGAACCTCTCTACCCCAATCTATCCGACTATCGTCCTACTCAGCCCACGTTTAGGCAATCTCTGAAAACCCATCTCTTCAGGGAAGCCTATCCTGCCTTCAGCTAATAACTGAATCTTCTATTCCTCCTACCAGTCCATCCCCCACAGTTATTACCTTTTGTACCACCAGCACCACCCTCTTAGATTGCAAGCTCCAAGGAGCAGGGCCCTTCTAACCCTCTTGTATTAAACCGTATTGTTGCTGTATTGTCTCCCTTTATATTGTAAAGCGCTGAGCAAACAGTTGGCACTATATAAATCCTGTATAATAATAATAAAAATAATCTGACACATTTTTCCCAAACATCGCAAAAGATGCTAAAATTTCAATTCACTATCACCTTACGCTGTATTTACCTCAAAAAGTAAAAACACTTGGCGAAAACCTCATAAAATGGTGTAAAAGGTAATTCACTAAAGGAAATAAATAAATGGACAAGTTAAGTAGTAGTATGGAATGCAGAAATAGAACAGCCAATTTGGAGTAGTCTCTACCTTTTTGAGTCAGTCTCGCAACAGTAATGTATAGAAATCTAAATATGGAAAACCTGTGTTTGTCTTAGGGAGATTTGCCCTCTTTATTAGTCCCGTTTTCCATTATCATTAAAAGTGTCATTAATAGAAACTCCCAAATTTTGGGTTGTCCCCAGAAAAGTAAGGGAAATCTTCCAATGGAGACACTAGTTCTGATGACCTGGGGGCCCCCAAGGGACTCCTTTAATTTGTAGGGATTTCCTCTCATTTCCTGTTTTGGCCATGGGACAAGAAGTGAAGGTAAATCTCCCCAATGGGACACAGTAGCCAAAAAAAAAATTAATAGGTCTAATTTAGGAAAAATAGACAGTGCACTTTGCAAAGCTTGGTAAATGAGGTAAAGCTTCACTTTACAAAGAATACCCAATCACATGCAAGGGAAAAAAATTAGAAAATGCTAATTTTGCTTGCACATGATTGGATGATTGAAGTCAGCAGAGCTCCCCCTCATTTACTAAGCTCTGGAGTAAATGCACTTGCAAAGTGCTCAGTCTATGTGCCTTTAGTAAATCTACCCAATTACATGTACTAAAATATATCTATTTTCTCCTGTCATTTCGCCAGATTTTCAAAGACTTTTTTGTGTATATACTAGCATATACATCATTTGCTGTAAAAAACCTCCCAATCACTCTAAACATAATACAACGTACGTGTATATCACAATGGTCTAATCCCTTGTTAGAACATGTTATATGTAGCGGGCTACTTTATATTTTCAAAATTATTTTTAGAGATATATTTGGCTCAAATATTCACAAGACAGAATCAGATTAGAAATAGACATGTATTCTTACAAAGATGTGGAACTTGAGCGGTTAGGAGAGGGGTGTCATCCATTTGAAGGTTTGACATATAGATATCTGTGAGATAATTTCAAGACCATCAGAGAATGACAATAGCTATTCTCTAACACATCGGTTCTCAACCTGTGGGTCGTGACCCCTTTGGGGGTCGAACGACCATTTTACAGGGGTCGCCTAAGACCATCAGAAAACACATATTTCTGATGGTCTTAGGAACCAAGACACCGCTCCCCTATCTGTCTCCAGGCAATGTGTGGGCGGGATGACATGCCACCCCTGTCATTTGGCCACACCCCTGGGATCACTCAACAGCTCTGCCTCCTTGCCTGTGATTGGCCACTGGAACTGCAGCTCAGGAGAGGTACACAGGCGGCCAATCACCGGCGAGGAGGTGGAACTTGGAGAGGAGGAACCGAGCAGTAGTGCAAAGATCAAAGAAGATCGAGTGAGGGAGCGAGTGAAGAGGAGAGCGGCCGAAGAAGGAAGACAGCTGACCAGTAAGTGTCTGTAGTGTGCAGATGGTGCTGTTGCAGCCAAGTGTGCTGGCTGTAGATGGAGAGGGAGGGAGCGAGCACAGGCTGGAGCAGGGGTCAGCAAGGTAAGTATCATTTGTGTCAGTGGGAGGAATAGTGCCCCATCTTGGTGTCACTAACATCAATGATGGGGCACTATTCCTTCCAATGACACCAACGTTGGGGCGCCATTCCCCCCCCCCCCCCCCCCCCCACTGACACCAATGAAGGGGCACTATTCCCCCCACTGACACCAATGATGGGGCACTATTCCCCCCACTGACACCAATGATGGGGCACTATTCCTCCCCCCCATTGACACCAATGATGGGGCACTATCCCCCCCCACTGACACCAACGATGGGGCACTATCCCCCCCCCCCACTGACACCAACGATGGGGCACTATCCCCCCCCCACTGACACCAACGATGGGGCACTATTCCCCCCCCCCCCACTGACACCAAAGATGGGGCACTATTCCCCCCCCCACTGACACCAATGATGGGGCACTATTCCCTCCCCCCACTGACACCGATGGGGCACTATTCTCCCCCCCCCCCCACTGACACCAATGATGGGGCACTATTCCCCCCCCACTGACACCAACGATGGGGCACTATTCCCTCCCCCCACTGACACCAATGATGGGGCACTATTCCCTCCCCCCACTGACACCGATGGGGCACTATTCCCCCGCCCCACTGACACCGATGGGGCACTATTCCCCCGCCCCACTGACACCGATGGGGCACTATTCCCCCCCCCCCCCCTGACACCAATGATGGGGGCACTATTCCCCCCCCCATTGATAGCAGTGATAAGGCACTATTCTCCCACCCCCCCACACTGACATAAATGATGGGGCACTATTCCTCCCACTGCAAAATTACAGTTATGAAGTAGCAACGAAAATAATTTTATGGTTGGGGGTCACCACAACATGAGGAACTGTATTAAAGGGTCGCGGCATTAGGAAGGTTGAGAACCACTATTCTAACAAGACAAAGTAGACCTGTCCAAAGATATAGCAGTGACTTTGCCAAATATCACAGCAACAAATTACTCCACTATTAATGTTCGATGTCAACCCAAAATGTGGGAAATTTTCCTATCACTTTCAGTGATAAAATCAAACAGTAACAAAAAGATTTATATAAAAAGAGTAGGGATTTTGTGAAATCACAATAAACCAGTCACCTGGCCAGGAAAAAGGGAATATTCCTTCAGGTCTGACAAGTCCACTGGCACATACATCCCCGATGAGTGTTCTCTGTCACCTTCCAGAATGACCGACTTGGAGTTCAACTTCCCATTACTGTCACAGGCAATCTGTCCAAGCACAGTCACGGTCTCCTAACAGAGAAATAAGGCAAGTTGTTATTCTTTTTTACATGGCTTTTTTTTTTTTCTCCCCCCCCCCCCCCAGCAGTAACACACACACACACACACACACACACACACACACACACACACACACACACACACACACGTTTTGCAACTTTGCAGGCTTATAGGAAATGTTATTTTGCACCACATGCAAATGTTTATGTCAATTTAAAGCTGCATTCAATACAAAAGCAGAATTCAAATATAAGCAGTACAAAAAAAGTTAAGCTTTACATTGTAACCAGTTGGCGCTATGCAAGTTCTGTATAATAATAATAATGCTTACGTCAGCCTAAAAAAGAAAAAACACAAAAGTGTGAAGACCAAGCCTTTCTGACACTTTATTTTGAACCCCCAAACATTACATACATATTACACACACACACTTTTTTTTTTAAGCAGAGGCCCTACAGAATAAAAATGATGGGTTTTGCATTTTTGTTTTTTTTTTAGTGTCACATGGTATTTGCACAGTGGTTTTTCAAACACAAATTTACACCAAAAAAAACCTTAATAAATTTTAATGAGCACAAACACAATATAATACACATTTTTTTGTAAAATATAAAAGATGGTGTTACACCAAGTAAATAGATACCCAATATGTCATGCTTTAAATTTCTGCACGCTCGCGGAATGGGGCCAAACAGCAGTATTTAAAAATCTCCATAGGTGACACTTTAAAAGCCTTTACAGGTTACCAGTGAAGCGTTACAGAGGTCTGGTGCTGGAATTATTACTCTCTCGCTCAGACGTTCGCAGCAAGACTTCACATATGTGGTGCAATCGCATTTATGTATGCGTGCAGGACCAACGTGTGCGTTCAGCTTTGAGCGCAAACACCAGGGGACTGGTTTAGCGCTGCACTATTTATTTATTTATTGTATTGGACTCACATTGGTAGGAGGTTAAGTGTCAGCAGCTATAGGGATAGGGCCTCATTCTTAGCGCAGGAAGTGTTTTTATAATTTATTAAGGATTTATATAATGCCAACAGTTTGCGCAACACTTTACAATATAAAAGGGAGACAGTAAAGTTACAATACAATAAAAAATAAGAGGATTTAGAGGGCTCTATGAGAGCTTACAATCCAATAAGATGGGGCAAGTGGTACACAGGGTTATAACAGAGAGGATGATGTGATGGAAGTGATAAATGTCTAGTATGAGGCTTCCCTGAAGAGATGAGTTTTAATGGATTGCCTAAAGGCAGCCAAAGTAGGGAACAGCCAGACAGATTGTGGTTAAGAGTTACAGATAATGGGAGAGGCTCTGGAGAAGTCCTGGAGACGAGCATGGGAGGGAGACAAGGGAGCTTGGGAGCAGAAAGTCATGAGAGTGGAGAGGACAATTTGGGTGATATTTGGAGAAAATATTGGTAATGCAACTGGGGGGCAGAGTTGTGAAAAGGTTTGTAGGTTGTTCATATTCCAAATTTAATTCGCTGGGTAATCAGAGGCCAGTGGTGGAATAGCCACTCAGATGGCTTTTACATAAAAGTAAATCACCTCCTGTAAGAAACCATACCGGGAGGATGCCTGTAGCTGCAGGTATCATCCTGGTATAACCAGTTGAAAGTCGCAATGTAAATATACGCATTGTGATCTTCAAGTAGTTAAGACGCAGATGTTGAGTGCAAACCCTACTGGCCAATCACAGTCCTTGTTCTGGGGACCAATCAAATGGCAGTAACTTCAATAAATCTTGTGAATAGTTGGAGGAAAGAAGTGCAATTGTAGATTGTGTTAATATTGTTAGTATTTCTTTAAATTTAACATGTAGATAGTAAAGTGCAGCAATGGCACCAAAGAAAAGCAGTGATTGGTCAAACACAAAAAAGGACCAGAATTGTTTTATGTGAATTGGGTCTTCCTTATGCTGAAATTGCAAGGTAAGTAAGTGGGTCAGTGACATCTGGTGTACAAAAGTGCTGTTTACGTTAACAGGAAACAAAGTCACTGACTCAAACCAGGCAAAGGTTGAAAAAAGTGCATAAAAGCAACTGATGACAGAATACAAAGACTGTCTGAAGGACAGAAAAATGTCATGAGGCCACCAGAGCTGAATTGTGTTGATTCCATGAGATGTCGATGTGTGATGCAGTTTTAAACAATAATGGCTACCCTTCTAAGTACATTGAAACAATAAGTGCATTACAGTATATTCTGTATGATTTCAGTATTCCCTGCATAATGTTTTGCATTCTATATCGTTTGCATTCTGTTGTTTGAATTGTAATTCAGCGTTAAATTGTCTTTAAATTGACATATAAAACATTTACATTTGGAGCAAAATAACATTTCCTATGCGCCTGCAAATTTGAAAAACACCATACATATACAGTGCTCAGAATAAATGAGTACACTCCTTTTGAAAAGTAAGATTTTATTCAATATCTCAATGGACACAAAAACAATTTCAAACATTTTGACAAAACTGAGCTTTATAGAACATTCGTTTAGCTCATTACATGAAAGTAAGTCAGTTTTACTCAAAATTAGTTGATGCAAAAATTAACACACCCCACAAAAAAAAAAAAAAACTACTACATCTAGTATTTCGTATGACCTCCATGATTTGTAAGGACAGCACCAAGTTGTTTAAGCATTGAATGAACAAGTTGGTGACATAATGCAACACAAATCTTTTTCCATTCTTCAAGAACGACCTCTTTTAGAGTTTGGATGCTGGATGGAGAGTGATGCTCTACTTAGCTCTTCAGAATTCCCCATAGGTGTTCGATTGGGTTCAGATCAGGAGACATACCTGGCCACTAGATCACTTGCACCCTGTTTGTCTTCAGAAATGGAACAGTGGCCTTAGATTTGTGTTTTGGATCATTGTCATGTTGGAAAAGTGCAGGATGACCAAGGGCATGAAGTGATGGTAGCATGTTCTGTTTCAATATAGAGCAGTACATCAATGAATTCATGATATCATCAATGAAATGCTTCTCCCCAACACCGGCAGCATTCATGCAGCCCCACAGAAGGACACTGCCACCACATTTCACTGTAGGCACCATGCATTTTTCTTTCTACTCCTCACCTTTGCAACACCATACAGTTTTTAAGCAATCAGTACCAAAAACCGTTATCTTGGTCTCATCACTCCAAAGTACAGAGTCCCAGTAGTCTTCTTATTTTTCCAACATGGGCCTTTGCAAATTTTAGGTGGATTTTATTGTGCATGGACTTTAGGAGAGGGTTCCTTTGTGGACAACACCCATGCATGCCATTCATTTGCAGTATACACCGTATTGTGTCATGGGAAACAATCACCCCAGTTTGGCTTTCTACATCCTTAGCCAACTGCAGTGAACTTGCATGTCGATTTTCATCAACCCTTCTCATCAGAGGACTCTCCTGTCGAGGTGTTTAACTTCCGTGGTCGGCCTGGACTGCTCATTTTTGTTACAGTATTCTACCTGATAAGTAAAGCTTTACTGATCTTCTTGTAGCCTTCACCTTTCTTGTGTAAAGAAATTATTTTCCCTTTCTCAGATCTGGTGACATTTCTCTTCCATGTGAAGCCATTGCTGACAGCATGAAATGGGAAAGTGTTTTCTTTGTTAAGTAACGCCCTTTTATAATAAGCTGTCTGCTGGAGACCTGTTTAATGAATAATTAGACTCACCTGTAGTTGAATTCTTGTTAATTAGGATCTTGTTGTCTAAAATTCAGCTTTGCTCCCAAGACTTTCATTGGGGTGTATTCATTTTTGCAACATGGTTTTGAATGAATTGGTTAGGAGAAATACTTTGTGTGTGCAAATTAACAAATCTTGTTTGCAATCAATGGCCTGCATTTGTGGGAGTATTTTGCAGTATAGTGTCCCATAGAAAATTTGGATACTGAAAGGAAAGCAAAGGTTTTCTGAAATCTGTTGGGGTGTACTCCCCACCCTTTGCAGTTTTAACAGCTTCAACTCTTCTGGGAAGGCTGTCCACAAGGTTTAGGAGTGTGTCTATGGCAGTGTTTCTCAATTCCAGTCCTCATGGACCCCCAACAGGTCATGTTTTTTCAGGATTTCCCTCAGATGAAACAGCTGTGGTAATTACTAAGGCAGTGAAACTGATCAAATCACCTGTGCAAAATAATGGAAATCCTGAAAACATGACCTGTTGGGGGTCCATGAGGACTGGAATTGAGAAACACTGGTCTATGGGAATGATTAACCATTTTTCCAGAAATGCATTTGTGAGGTCAGGCACTGATGTCGGATGTGAAGGCCTGGCTCACAGTCTCCGCTCTAATTCATCCCAAAGGTGTTCTATCGGTCAGATTGAGGTCAGGAGTCTGAGCAGTCCAGTCAAGTTCCTCCACCCCAAATTCGCTCATCCATGTCTTTATGGACTTTGCTTTATGCACTGGTGCGCAGTCTTGTCAGAACAGCAAGGGGCCATCCCCAAACTGTTCCCGCTAAGTTGGGAGCATGAAATTGTCCAAAATGTCTTGGTATGCCAACGCCTTAAGAGTTCCCTTCACTGGAACTAAGGAGCCAAGCCCAGGCCCTGAAGAACAACCTCACACCATAATCCCCTCCTCCACCAAACTTTACACTTGGCACAATGCAGTCAGGCAACTACCGTTCTCCTGGCAACTGCCAAACCCAGACACGGCCATCGGACTGCCAGAGAAGCATGATTGGTCACGCCAGAGAACACATCTCCACTGCTCTAGAGTCCTCTGGCGGCGTGCTTTAACCTCTTGCCGACCGCGCATAGCCGAATGACGGCTTCATCGCGGCCGGCCAGTTCTGAGTGGACGTCATATGACGTCCTCCCAGAACGCGCTCTCCTGCGCGCCCCAGGGGGCGCGCACCCGGCGATCTCCGCGATCGCTGTGTCCTACGGACACAGCTGATCACGTGATGTGGTGAAAGGCCGATCCCACCGGCCTTTTACCACGTGATCAGCAGTGTCCAATAACACGCTGATCACAGGGAAATGCAAGTGCCGGTTCTCGGCTGCACTTTCCTCACGCTGTCAGATCGTGAGGAAAGTACTGCCGAGAACCGGCAGTTGTCAGAGCGGGGATCGGCACCGATCATCAGGGCACTGATGATCAGTGCCCTGATGATCGGTGCCCAACAGTGACACCCGCAAGTTCCGCCCAGCAGTGCGCCCACTAGCCCCACCCCACCCGTTCCCAGCAGTGCCCCCACCTGTGCCCAGCAGTGCACCCACCTGTGCCACTCTGCAGTGCCACCTACCTGTGCCCAGCAGTGAAGTGCCACCTACATGTGCCCAGAAGTGCCACCCACCTGTGCCCACCAGTGCCACCCACGAGTGCAGCCCACCAGTGCTGCCAGTCAGTGCCACCACCAGTCAGTGCCCAGGGGTTGTGCCAGCCAGTGCCGCCAGTCAGTGCCCAGAAGTGATGCCAGTCAGTGCCGTCTATCAGTACCCATCATCAGTGTCACCTATCAGTGCCGCCTATCAGTGCTGCCTATCCGTGACCCCTAATTAGTGCTGTCTATCAGTGCCGCCTATCCGTGCCACCTCATTAGTACTGCCTATCAGTGCCCTTTAGTGCTGCCTATCAGTGCCGCCTATCAGTGCCCATCAGTGCCGCCTCATCAACGCAAATCAGTGAAGGAGAAAAAATACCTGTTTGAAAAATTTTATAAAAGAAACAAATAAACTTTTTTTTTTTTTTCAAATTTTTTGCACATTTTTTAATTTATAGCGCAAAAAGTAAAGCGCCCAGTGGCGATTAAATACCACCAAAAGAAAGCTCTATTTGTGAGAAAAAAATGATCAAAATTTCATATGGGTACAATGTTGCATGACCGCGCAATTGTCAATCAAAGTGCGGCAGCGCTGAAAGCTGAAAATTGGCCTGGTAAGGAAGGGGGTATAAGTGCCTGGTAGGCAAGTGGTTAAACCACTACATCTGACGCTTTGCATTGCACTTGGTGATGTAAGGCTTGGATGCAGGTGCTCGGCCATGGAAACCCATTCCATGAAGCTTTCTACGCACTGTTGTTTTGCTAATGTGAAGACAACATGAAGTTTGGAGGTCTTTAGCTATTGACTGTGCAGACAGTTGGTGACTTCTGCGTACTGTGCACTTCAGTATGCGTTGACCTCACTCTGTCATTTTACGTGGCCTACATCTTCGTGACTGAGTTGCTGTTGTTCCCAGTTGCTTCCACTTTGTTATAATATCATTAACAGATGACCGTGGAATATTTAGTAACAAGAAAAATTCACGGATGGACTTATTACACAGGTGGCAACCTATCACGGTACCACGCTTGACTTCACTGAGCTCCTGAGAGCAACCCACTCTTTCAGAAATGTTTGTAGAAGCAGACTGCATGCCTAGGTGTTTGATTTTATACACCTACGGTTTGGACACACACACACACACACACACACACACACACACACAGTATCTCACAGAAGTGAGTACAACACCGCTCACATTTTTTGCAAATATTTTATTCTATCTTTTCATGTGACAACAATGAAAAAATAACACTTTGCTACAATGTAAAGTAGTGAGTGTACAGCTTGTATAACAGTGTAAATTTGCTGTCCCCTCAAAATAACGCAACACACAGCCATTAATGTCTAAACCGCTGGGAACAAAAAAGCGAGTACTACAGAAACACAGCTACCTACATGATGTGGAACATACCTCATTACAAGAAAATTAGTCCACCTCACAATTTTACTGTTTTGTTAATGTATACACATACAGCTCTGCAGAAAATATCATTTAGATTAGACTTACTTGAGCTGGAAAAGATACTGAAGTAAATTCTTCAATCTGGAAATGATTCTTCAGTGCTTCACCAAGTTCTTCTATTTTACTGTTTACAACTATTGGTAGCAAGAAAAGAAAGCAATAAGGGGAGCGATCATCACCTACCCTACACAATAAACTTTCTGACTTAACTAATGAATCTCCAGATGTAATATCGTATTCTTTTTTCTTTAATAATCAAACAATTGTTTACTGAAACAAAAAACGGGATTTTTGGTTAACCAGTAAAATCCTCTTCTAGAAGTACACCACAGGACATCTTCATCTCATTTATGATAGGGTTCTGCTGCCACCTTCAAGTGACTGAACAAGATATACTGCTACAGGGCGGCTCTGCTGCGCAAAATCACATAAAATACCTGATTTTGCATTTTCAGGAGAGGGGGCACGCGCTGCTATTGCCTGCCGGGGATGTCAATCAACGGGTTCTGGCCAGGACTCGATAGTTGGCAAAGCTGAGAGGGGAGAGATCTGTGTATAAAACATCACAGATCTCTTTCCTGTCAGCATGGACGTGCTGCTTTGTATCTCTCTGCACAGCAGAGAGATACAAAGCAGCAGGTCTCCCAAGTAAAGCACCACACAGTAAAACACACAGAGCACACTGTTAGCCCTTTGATCACCCCAGATGTTAAACCATTCCTGCCCAGTGTCATATGTATAGTGCCAGTGTTATTATTAGCGCTAATCACTGTATTAGTGCCCGCTGCAGTCCGCAATAAGTAACTGATTGCCGCTATTACTAGTATAAAAAATAAATAAAATAAATGAAAATTTCCAGTATACACACACACACCATTTGTAGATGCTATAACCTTTCACGTAAACCAATTGATATACACCTGAAGAAATTTTATTTTTTATATTGGATATGTTTTATAGCAAAAAAAGTCAAAAATAGTTTTTCTTTTTTGTCAGTCTTTTTGTTTATAGGTCAAAAAACAAAGACAGAGGTGATCAAATACTACCGAAAGAAAGCTCTATTTGTGGAAAAAAATGACAAATTTCATTTATGTACAGCGTTGCATGACCATGCAGTTGTCATTTAAAGTAACACGGTGCAGCATCGCAACAAATGGCCTGGTCAGGAAGGGGGGTAAATCCTCTGTAGGGCAAGTGGTTAAAAAAAAAAAAAAAAAAAACACACACACACACACACACACACACTCACACACTCACCATTAAGGAGGGTTTCAGTTTTTTTACAAGCTATAAACCACAGAGGGTTTTCTTTATCATACATCTCAAGACATAGGACATCTAGGTAAAAAAGGACCACTGACGCCATAAAACCACCTTATCACTGTGTGAAATACTAGAACAGGTTCCTTACAGGAAGAGCAGCCCATTCCAAAACTCTGTGATTCGAAAGTAATGGCAACCAGAATAACTTTCTAATGCTGAAGGACCAAATGTCCAATATACCGAATGGGAACAAAATTTCTGCAAGACAGAAAGTGCCAAGCTGGTGTTCTACAAAGTCATAACCATTGGAACAATACACGTGACATCTTGCACAGCTATGCACCAATTAGGTCTCTGGAAAAAAGAAAAAAAAAATAGACCACCAAGGCTGAAATCTGACCCAGGACCACACTCAAGACCAGTCCTGGATTAACTCCAAACTGGAGAATGCCATGATACAACCCACACCATACTTGTGAGGGTAAATTCACCTAGCCTTACACCAAGTAAAATAAGATTTAAAGCGTTAATGTTACTAAACCCAGACCCTGCATTCACTATATCTGGTCTTCCACAGTGCACAAAACATGGAAACGCAATTATTTTAGTAAATATAAACTGCTAAATACCTTTCCTCACCAGCAGTATACAGCAGTCTTGTGACTTCCATCAGTGACCAGCCAAGCACTGGTTAATGTTGTAGGAGGAGGAGTTTTCATTCTCCTCTGACTGTCCTATGAGACTGCATGATCCCTGACCCTCTGTCCGGACAACGCTGATTGGCCTTGTGCCGATCACATGCATCCTCCCAAAAAATAAATAACTCACTCTCTAGCAATACACACCAAACTAAGCATCATTGTTGCTCTACGGCAGAAGGACTGGGGACAGCAACCGCAGGGGAAGATCAGAGAAGACAGGATCAAACATCCTTTATACAGAATGCAGATGATTAACCCCTTAGGTTCCACACTGAGTATAACAAGCATGCTTTACTGCATACACAGACTGATTTTACCGTTGTGGGTTTAGAAATAGGAAGTCCTAATGGAAATCCTCTTTGAAATTGCCTTCTGATACATCAGTAGGTTAGGAATTACCCCCTTGTCTCTCAATATTGTGGCTTCAACAGCCTAACAGCTAGAGCCAGCAATTGTAAAAAAGGTATGCAAGATCGGAACTAGTGACGGGAGGTTGAGAGGATTCAGAAGGGTCCAAGGGTCCCTCCACCGAGATGTTCACAATGTCAGAGCACCAAGTTCTCAGGGGCCAAGCCAGGCGATCAGACTCATTGGAATTGTTTTCACTCAAAACCTGCAAAGCAGATGAGGAGGAAGCTGGTGTTTAGTGACACATAGAGCACTGGTTTCCGACAAAAAAAAAAAAAAATGTTGCTTGCCCCCCTTTGATACTTGCTGTGATTTGTAGACCCACAGAAGAACGTCAGTGCTGTGATCTGTAGCCCCACAGTTGAGGTCACACGGTGCAACCCGTAGTCCCCCCAAAAAACAGAACACTTGTTCTGCTGTGACTTATATTCCTGTGACCTGTAGTCATACATTGGAAGCTACTCTGCTGTGACCTGTAGTCCCAAAGGAAAGGCACGTGTTCTGCTTTGACTTGTCTCACTAAAGGACATTCTTCTGTAACCCATAGTTCCCCCAGAGCTCTCACACTGCCGATGGATGGACATACATTTCATAAAGAAAGACAAAACACTGCACTTGGGTAAGAGAATAGTAGCTGCCAGCACCAACAGTTTGGATACATAAACTCAAAAACCAAGTAAAATAATAGAGTGCAGGGCAATAAAGACACTCTAAAATATGTACTGTAAAAAAAAAAAAAAACCTACAGTTGCAAGAAAAAGTATGTGAACCCCTTGGGATTACGTGGAGTTTTGCATGAATTGGGCATAAAATGTGCTCTGAACGGCATCTAAGTCACAACAATAGAAGAACACAGTCTGCTGAACATAATACTACACAAACATTAGATGTTGCCATGGTTTAATTGCACATAACATGTAAACATTCACAGTGCAGGGAGGAAAAAGTATGTGAGGCCCTAGCTTAATGACTTCTCCCAGAGCTAATTGGAGCCAGGAGTGAGCCAACCTTGACTCCAATCAGTGTGATGATACTGGATGTGTTGCTGACAGCTGTCCTGCCCTTAAAAAACACACACCTGTTTTGGGTTTACTGGTTTCAAGAAGCACTGTCTGATGTGAACCATGCCGTGCAGAAAAGAGCTCTCAGAAGACCTACGATCAAGAATTGTTGACTTGCATGAAGCTGGAAAGGGTTACAAAAGTATCTCCAAAAGCCTTGATGTTCATGTGTCCACGGTAAGACAGACTGTCTACAAATGGAGAAAGTTTAGCACTGTTGCTACTCTCCCTAGGCGTGGTCGTCCTGTAAAAATGACTGCAAGAGCACAGCACAGAATGCAGCATGAGGTAAAGAAAAATCCCAGAGTGTCAGCTAAAGACCTACAGAAATCTCTGGCACATGCTAACATTTTTGTTTATCTACAATAAGGAAAACATTAAACAAGAATGTATAGGTAGGTAATAGAGCGCTGGGAGTACATAAGTGAAGCAGCTAGCATAAAAGGTAACCTTGGGACCCAGATAGAAACATGAAAAAATAAATATGCAGCGCTTTTGAAATTAAATATGAACAAGCATAAAAAACAGAACATGAACAGCATAACTGCATGGCAAATTCAGTCCATATTGCATGGTGCGATAAAGTGATAGGTGCAATTGTCCCAATAATTCATGTTCAGAGAAATTCGTGACTCTTGTGATCTCGTTTGTACAAATAATGCACTAACCAGATAGCGCAACCAATGCGCATGGAGCAATTAAGACCCGCTCCTGGTGCTCTGGACTTGTAGTATTAGGAGGATGTCATCTGCAGGTTTGGCCACCAGATGTCATCAATCCAGGTATATGGGTAAGTCATCCACCAGAGAGATCATCAGCGGGGGAGGGGGTGATCATGCATCATTCCCAAATGGACGTAACCTTCAAAAGCGGGCTCCCATAACATAGATGAGACCCAGAGAAGCCTCTGATAGTGTAGTATGTTTATTAAGTAAAAACTTACACCAGATACAATTGGAGGAAAAACTTACATCAAAGCAAGGTCAGGCCACCAGGGTGTCAATCAGGATGGCTTAGTGGTATGCATACACAGGTCAAGGGCACCTCCCTAACGCGTTTCGTGTGCAAAACACTTCCTCAGAGGGAGTGTGCCCGTGATAAATGATACTGCTTTTATAGAAAGGTAATTGGCGCGCTTTTGAGCGATCTAGCGCCGCCAATTACGGTTCGCGCATGCGCACTGGCGACTTGGCGGCCATTTTACCGGTGGTGCTTTTAGTATGGACGGAGAACGGACTCTCGCGCATGCGCAGTGAGCGCTCGCGGCCATTTTCCAAGAGTTCCTAAGTAGGGAAGGCATTCGCGTTTGCGCTGTGAGCGTTCACGGATGCCATTAAACAAGAATGGAGTACATGGGGGGACACCACGGAGGAAGCCATTGCTGTCCAAAAAGAAGATTGCAGCACGTTTGAAGTTTGAAAAGAGCACCTGGATGTTCCACAGCACTACTGGCAAAATATACTGTGGACAGATGAAACCAAGATTGAGTTGTTTGGGAAGAACACACAACACTATGTGTGGAGAAAAAAAGGCACAGCACACCAACATCAAAACCTCATCCCCACTGTAAAACATGGCGGAGGGAGCATCATGGTTTGGGGCTGCTTTGCTGCCTCAGGGCCTGGACGGATTGTTATTGATGGGAAAATGAATTCCAGAGTTTATCAAGACATTTTGCAGGAAAACGTACGACCATCTGTC